AAAAAAAATAAAAAGTTTCTTGAAAGACTTTATAATGAGCTTTTCTAAGCAAGTAAAATTTATTAGACATTCTATAAAAGTTATGAATAATTCATATTTTATTCAATGTAAGTTAATTGAAATTTTTGAACTTCTCTAATTATTCCTAAACTTTCTTTTTTAATCGTATATATAGAAAAATAATAAACAACACCGATATGCAATTAAATAAAACAAAACGAAATTAAAAAAACATAAAAAAATCTAGAAGAGTACGAATCGAATGACATCCCAACGGGTTCTGCCGTTTACACTTTAGGCGGTGACAAAGAAATTTAAATATATACGAAACCCCAAACAAAAACAAACATACAAACGCGAGAAAACATTACTTTCTAGTCGGGTAAAAAATCAGATATGAAATTACTATTTACATATGTATATATAACAATATCATTTCATTCGTCTGTTTGTACGTGATCTCAAATACTAATTGGATTGTCATCTTCAGCCTAAACCATCTAAGATCTAATTGAAATTCAATAAACGTCTGTACTAATTTATTCAACTGCTTGGATGTCTATTGGCAGTTACTTCTCTCTTTACTTCTATCGTTTTCCACCTTGTAATATAAATAAGTCATTAACTTAACACAAAAGTAATATTTATAACATGACTGTCCACACGAATACGTTTGCGTGGAATTAAAACAAAACCGTAATCAGCCTATGTGTTCTTCCAGGCTATGTTCTACGTTCTGGAGATACCTTATAACAAACATCCATCCATTCAAACATTCGCATTTATAATATTAATTAGATAAAGTTTTTAGTTTAATCGCTTATTTTTATCAGCAAGTTGATAAGAAACATTAAGTAATTACTCTCTTATAGTCATCGCTCAAATAAATGAATTATCGTACGTAGAGAACTAGTATGTAATAGTATAATTAGATTAGCAGATTCAATTATCATCTAAGTTGGACCTCTGTTTGCGTCCATTGCTCGACATTCGAAACTGAATCAATTAATTACGATTTGATTGATGTTGACATTTCATATCACATTTTATATACATAGTACCTGGATGACTGTTTTTTGGAAATTATATTTAAGTACGAATTACTAATAAAATGATGAAATATGAATAATATTTTTCGATCTTACCGATAGAAAAAGTTAAGTTTTTGTTTAAGTTGATTATCGATAAAACACGAATAAAATGACGTTTTCTAAAAATGATTCCTAGCTAGATCGATTTATCGCCCCCGAATATACCAAATGTTATGAAAATCGTTGGAGCCGATTCCGAGATTCCAATTATATATATTATTTATTAGCCTTCGACCGCGACTCCATCCGCGTGGATATATAAAAAAAACTTAATTAGTGTAGCCTATGTGTACTTTCAGACTATGTTCTATACATATGCCAAATTTAATGGAGATCCGTTCAGTAGTTCTAGATATATCTTCAAACACCCATCCATCCATCCACATCACATCCATCTAAACATTGGAATTTTATATTAGTAAGTTGAATAAAAAGCTGCTCTTCAAGGCATAAATTCGAAAAAAAGATGTATAAATAGTATCCTACGTTCTTCTCCTGGCTCTAAGCTACCTCCTCGCCAATTTTCAGACATATCGGTAAAGCCGTTCTTGAGTTATAGTGTAACTAACACGACTTTCTTTTATATATATATAGTTTTTTTTTAACGTAGCTAGTCGGAGTTACCCAGTTTCCTAGTTCACCTTTTACTTTAAAAATGTATGCGATATTATAAACATCATACGTCACAACAGATAATAAATATCTGATACGGCTTTTATTGACCCAGCATCCGTCAGGTTACATGTTGACGTTTGCGAAGATTGAATTTATCCAACGTTTGTTGTTTGGAAATGAATCAAATTGAAATCGTGACGTGAAATTCTGAGCCCAATTTACTTAATGCATATGTATAGGTTACAGGTTTATACGTTTGATTTACCATTCGGTTACATTTTTCATAAATTATTTTTCTTTTCAATATTATATGGTTCATAGACCTAAAACAGTCACATTCACCCTAATCTAGTGAGTGCAAAATCTTACATAAATTGTCAAAGTTTTGGGGCAGTTGTAATCATTTCAGTTTCTTTCATCATCTCGTAATAAGCCTACTTTATAGTTACTGTAGATTGCCTACCTTAATCGACGGACGAGAGGATGCACAGAAAGAAAATACTTTCCCTTTCCATGCATCCTCTCATCCGGAAATTCCACTTCCCATCCTTTCCTTATAAGAAAAAGGGTGGGAAGGGAAAGAGGACTAAATTAGGCCTCCGGGACGCACACTCATCAAACGAAAAACGGAATTGCTTCCACTTGACGCCTGTCTTCTGTGTGGTCGTGGTATTTCACCGGGCGAGCCAGACCAATTCGTGCGAAGATGTTAAAGCGGGCTCTACCACTGTTAAATCCTTTTCCACTGTTGAAAGAAAAGGGCTGTTTTGAGGGTTAAAAAAACTGTTTTGTTCATTGTAATATATGTTTGTAACTAGTCTGAACGTGTTGATTAGATACTTGAGTTACTATAATACGAGTAAGTTGTCTTTGTATTATTAATTATAATACTTAAATTTATTCATAACTTTGAGGGTTAAAAGAAAGAAAGCGTGTTTCTATACATTTAATATCATTTAATGAATTTTAACAGAACGAGTAATAAACTATACTTCAATATTTCTATTTATGACTAGATATAATATACATAGGTTATTAACATACTCTTATGTTTAAATAAAACACATTTAGACATAAATCAATTCAAACCTTTTCTTTTCAATGTATCGATTGTCGGAAAATTTATTACTTTTCAGCAAATTACATTTATATTATCTTAATAAAAATAAAAACAAGAAATAAATATATTAATTCTTTAACAGATTTGTAAAAGTTTTAAGAATAATAACGTGACTAGAATATTTACTACATATAACCTCTTTATTGATTATTTCATACAAGTGAGACGATTATAGAATTGTCCTTAGTAAGCCTGACTTAAACACACAGTATAAAGAAAAAATCTCCCAAATTCGGTAAAAACAAATGTAAAAAAAAAATAAAATAAAAAAAAATGCTTCTTCAAATGTTAATTATTGTTATTTTATTATTATATTTATCTGAATTAAAACAAATTAAAACTCAAAAATTATTTATCAAACACAATATTAAATACTGTTTTTAAAATGTTGCCACTAAACACATTTTAAAATTTACTAACAGCAAAGAAACAAAATATTAAATTAGAAACGAGGTTGTATTCGATTTATTTTTTATATAAATATTGTAATGCAATAACAACACTAAGCTAATTTACCACTATTTTTAAAACTAATGTATAATTTATATTACACTAAATAGGACAGTGTTTCATAGAGTAGGAAAAACATTAAGAAAAGTACAGAAGTATAAAAGGGTTGGTAAAAACACTACAAACTCTAATATATTATATTTTTCCGTAAACTCTACATTTTATTTATACGAAATTTCTCACTACTGCTTTCATAAAAGACCTTTTAAAAGATCTTATATCTTAATATCTTGTAGACATATATTTATTTTTACGTTAATATTTAATTATGTTATAATCTGTATCCAATTAATTCGCAAAAAGTTGTCTCCTACAAATAATGGGCATTTTAGTGCCATCTAAAAGACCAATACGATTGACCATTCTTTTATATTTATAAGTTTACTTAGCTGTTATCGACTCCGTCCTTTTTTTATACCATACGGTGGCAAACGAGCGAGCGGCCACCTGAAATCGCTGAAATAGCGAAGTGACCGTTGCCCGTAGACATACGCAATTGCATATGCGTTGCCTACCTTTAATCGACGGAAAATATTTTCTCTTCCCATGCATCCTCTCATCCGGAAAGTCCACTTGTACTTCTCATCCTTTCCTTTTAAAAAAAAAAGGTGGGAAGGGAAAGAGGTCTAAATTAGGCCACCGAGACGCACACTCATCAGACGAAACGCGGAATTGCTTCCACTTGACGCCTGTCTTCTGTCTGGTCCGTCCACGCGGGATTTTAAAAAGTAGCTAATTCTCAGACCTACTGAATATGCATTTAAAATTTTATATAAAGTAATCAATCCTTTTCAGATTATGGTAACTAACATTGTGACACGAGAATTTCATAAGATAGTCGGTTGAATGAACATTGAATCTACGAGAAAAGAATTTGCCTATTAAAAATATTCTTGCGTATGTTCTGTACAAAGCTATAAATTAAAAACTACTGCTACATAAGATAAATACTAAAGACATAATTTATTATAGTCATTTTGACCACAAATACATTGAAGAATTTAACATTATCTGACTTAAAATATGTAACCTAAGTCGATTCAAACAATACTATACAGCTCTATATTGTAGTATGTCTATTTAAGGTAGATTAGTTTGATAACTGACGTCTATAAAATATCGAATTTATTTTGTATGAGGATTAATGTTGTACTTAATGGATGGTTGTCATAGTGTCGTACCGTACGTGCGTAACGAACAACTAGGAAGTATCGAGAATCGGTCTTGTAATTATACTAATCGAACAAAATTATTATTATTATACTTTTAAGGTAGGTATTTTATTACTTTTGAATTTATAATCGATATTATTTGGCGATGTCTCGCACAATTAACTAAAAAAAAAACATTAAAAACTTATTTTTGGTCAAAATCTCAATTTTTGGATTAATGTTTTATTTCTTTTGTTTTAAAGAATAAAGTAAGAATATAAAGTAACAATTTTATTTATATTTTAAATCAAATACAAAAATAACTATATTTTCGATTGCAATTTCTACGAGAATAACCATCGAAAATCGAAAATTTTCATAACCGATTTTTATCAACCCATCTCTAGTGACTTGTTAGATGAATTGTCAAACTAATCTATCTTAAACAGACACACTATAGTGCTTTGCACTTTATTTAAGAATTTCAAGAATACATAACTAATAGACCGGGCTTGAATAGACGTTGTTAACTCTTTATACTAATTTTGTTTTACTTTTATTTGAAGTGTCCGCATTAACTCCGCTATTGAATCTATTAACGACATCACGTACTTTTCCTTTACTGATAACCAATTCTTTATCGTATGTAGGAGTGATTAGGCCCTTTTCATTTCCATTGCATATATTTTTGATAGCGTTTGAAGGGTTAAAGGTAGCGCTTTGTGATTTTCTAAATTCTTTAACAGCGTTATCTATGTTATTAATCAGATCTTTAGCGACGAATGTTGCTATTTCATGTTTGATGCGATCTCTCTCGCTGACTAATTCTTCTGGTGTATTTTTGCTTGTGTCCTTTGTTCCGTTACGTTCAGGACTTTGGCTGTGTGTTAGAGAATGTGCAGCAGGACTGTCAGGCCCTTGGAATGTTATGCTCGGATTGGTTTGTGTAATTTGGTTACAATTTATTTCGGTATCTCTTGATTCATTCGGTTTTTCACCTATTAACCAATATGTAACCATTTTGCCTTTACCCTAAAAGGATAGATGATAAATTATATAATGTGAAATAGACACCTCAATATATAAGACTTGTTTTCTTTACTATAAGAGAAGGAAGAAAATATTTCTTTCCAAAAAAAAATGAGAGAAATTGAGAAAATCTGTCGCGGCTTTTTTTTCTTTCTTTCTCATAATTCAAAACATCCACTTCTTCCAAATCCTTTATAACTAAAGACGAATATTTTTTTAAGAATTGAAGCAATAATCAAAAATACAGTCTACAAAAATAGAGTTTTTTTATTAACAATACTTTACCTTCATAGTGATTTCCCCTCGACATTCAAGTTCGAAGCAGTCGTACAAATCTAGTATCTCCTTAGTCTTTGGACTGACGTGTATCTTAAGAGCTTCGCCGTGCGATTCCATCCTCGAGGCGGTATTGACCGTGTCCCCGAACAGACAGTAGCGAGGCATTTTCAACCCCACAACGCCCGCCACACAGGGCCCTGTAATAAAACGTTATTAGCTTCTCGTACACTGTAATCAAGTGATTGCATTTCAGTCTCTGATTTTGTACTTGTTACTTTGTTATTTCATATAAAAAGAACAGTCTGTACTTCATTAGTACTGTACAAATATCAGTATGTAAAATTTTAATTTTTATCAGCTCAAGAATTAACAATTCCTACTCAACTATTTGTTAGGTTTCTTATGTTTTTTTTAATTTTCAACGATATGACTTTACCCTATCTTTTCATTTCCCTTTTACCCTTTTCTACGCTCTACAAGCTCCCTCTTTGAAATGGAGTAATTAAATCTTTGTACCTGACTGCATCCCTTTTGTCCCCTCCCCCGTCTGGTATGGTACTCAACATATTGTACTCCGTCTCTCCTTACGTATTTTAACTAATTTATATATCTTTCGGTACCTGTATGCATCCCGATCCTTAACAACAGCCTCTCCCCCGGCCGGTGTGGTACTGTCTTAACGCGCACTGCTCTGAGCAACGCTAGCGACATTCGTGCGATCTCCGCAGCGTGTCGGCTGCCGTTACGCATCGGTAGACCAGACACCACCATGTATGCGTCACCTATAGTCTCCACCTAGACGAAGGGTTTGAAACCGGTTTAAATTGGTTTAAGCTGGTTTTAACTTGCTTAATATTTATAGTGCAATTTGAAAACGAACTTCAATAGTTAAATTGTGTTCTTCTTTTTATTATTAGGATAAACGACGTCTATAGAATCTTGGTCCGTACTAATTTTTGGACTGTCTATAATTATTTGTACATATCGTTTTACATATTGCTTATAATAAACTAGTACCTGGATAGTAGCTTTGTTCGGTATTTTTTTTTAATTGTGTTTTTTGTAAATTATATTTAAGTACGAATTACTAATAAAATGATGAAATATGAATAATATTTTTCGATTTTACCGATAGAAAAAGTTAAGTTTATGTTTAAGTTGATTATCGATAAAACACGAATAAAATGACATTTTCTAAAAATGATTCCTAGCTAGATCGATTTATCGCCCCCGAAACCCCCTATATACTAAATTTTATGAAAATCGTTGGAGCCGATTCCGAGATTCCAATTATATATACGTAAGATTTTTTTTTATTATTTGCTTTATTTTTTCTTTAATCAAACACTATAGTATTAAAAATTACGATTTAAATTCTTATACCTTATACACGTCGAAATTCTCAATAATTGAATCAAAACTCGTATACAAATCGTTAAGTAGGTCGACAACTTCGAGTGGCGTTGACTCCGCGGAGAGTTTCGTGAAGCCAATGATGTCGCTGAAGTAGATAGTTACTTGGTCATACGTCTCCGCCATCACTGGCTGACCGAGGATGAGCTGTGATGCCACTGACCTATGTAAAGAGAACCATCTAAATAAGTAAAAAAGATAAATTAAGCCTCCGAAACGCTCACTAATCAGACGAAACGCGTTATTGAAAGAAAGAAAAAGTTTTTATTACAGGACAGGAGAACTATAACCTTATAGTAATAAAAAAATTGCACATAACTGAGAAATTAAATTAAACTTAAGTTACAATTTATGGTTATTTTGGATAATCTCGTGATGCCCACACTAGGCATTGTGTGCTATTAGTATCGTGGCTATTAGTAAATAGAATTTCACTTCACACCTGTCTTCTGTATGGTCGTGTTTTGTACAGAGCATAAGGTGTGAATACATGCATCACAATTGTCGGCGTCTACCACGTTACGAATAATGTACACCTGCATTATTATCGTCTTAGGGACTTCTTTAAAATCTGAATCAGAAAGTCTTCATTAAGCAAATACTTAAGAACTGAAGAACAATCTTATTTATTGATAAAAACATCATGAAAATTTCTAGAATCCTTTCTAGCATAACAAGCAAACATAAGCAAAATATAACGAAACAAACTCAGGGCGTACACCAATGTGAACTAGAAAACAGAAGTCTTTATCAATTGAAGCGCCAATAGCCTAATGGTTTAAGTTAAGGATTTCCGATCATTAGGTCGGGGGTTCGAATCCCATTCGACTATTGTTTAAAATATGTCCTAGCTCAATCATAGAGCTTAATTGGTACAAGAAATATTATTATACTAAATTAAGAAAAATCTGCTAAAATTTTTAATAAAAACAAAAAAAAATCCAAAAAATGTTATGTTTCCTCAGGGTTCGAAAAGAATGGAGTTTTAAGTTAACATTAATATGCTTTCAACGAAAACCATTGTAATATTATATCTTTTTTTTTCTTGAGTTCAGTGACAATATAGATAAAACTTAAGTACACACTTAGATACTAAAGTTTTACTCCAGCGTAGAACTAAAGTGCACTTAGTTGGACGTACTTGGTGAGATTTTGTTAAGATACAGGATAAAATTACACTTAAGTTATACACAGCTAAGTTCTTTTGTAGTTAAAATTAGAATTGGTAAAACTCATTTGATAACTTAGTTTATGATAATTTTACGACAAAAAAACATGAGGCCCGGTATTGTTAATTATGTACATGAAAATTAAGTGTTTGAACTTGCTTTATAATTTTATGATTTTAATCTGTGACTATTTACTTATATTATTTTTTTTATTCCATAAGGTGGTAAACGAGCGAGCGGCCACCTGAAATCGCAGAAATAGTGAAGTGACCGGTGCCCATAGACATACGCAATTGCATATGCGTTGCCTACCTTTAATCGACGGAGGAGAGGATGTACAGGAAGAAAAAATATTTTCCTTTTCCATGCATTCTCTCATCCAAAAAATAGTCCTCTCTCTTATAAGGAAAGGATGGGAAGTGGAAGTGGACTTTCCGGAGTCCGAGTGTCCGCTCGCTCGTCTGCCACCTTATGATATAAAAAAAAATCCACTTCCACTTCCCACCGTTTACTTATAAGACAAAGAGTGGGAAGGGAAAGAGGACTAAATTAGGCCTTCGGGACGCACACTCATTAGACGAAACACGAATTACTTCCACTTGATGCCTGTCTTCTGTGTGGTCGTGGTATTTCACGGGGCGAGCGGGGTCAATTCGTGCGAAGATGTTAAAGCGGGCTCTACCACTGTTACCACTCTGCTCTTTCTTCTTCCTTTGTATTCACGTTTATTTCGTTACCACTGACGTATAATTGTAATACACAATCGTATGAATTAATTAGACCGTAACAAAGTTTACTCTTGTATGATTAATGAAGTCAATCAATCATAATAAGATGAGAGGTTGTTTGTAACTAACATAATACAAACTTGTTTTAATTTAATAGTAAGTAAATATTTCTACATCAATTAGACAGTTTTTTATAACAAAAGGGGCCAAACTAACAGCGAGAACACCGAGGTGTTCAACGACGCCCATGGACATCAGCAATACCAGAGGAACCGCAGATTCGTTGCCGACCTTTGAGATAGTGATAAGCTCGCTTCTTGAAGGACCCTAAGTCGTAGCGGTTTGGAAATACCGCCGAGGACAGACCATTCCACAACGCTGCTGTGCGAGGCAGGAAGTTACGCGCACAATTTAATAACTAAATACGATAATTAATATGTATATAAAATGTTTTTCAACTATTATTTTGATGGTTAATTATTCCACAGTTCCATTTTATAATTGATTTAAACGCTTTTATTTAATCTCAAATGTAGTGCAAAGCGCCAATAGCCTAATTTTTAAGGGTACGGATTTCCGACGAGGTCGGGCGTTCGAATCCCGTCATTCGATTATTGTCGTAAACCATATCTTAGCAAAAGCCTAGAGCTTAGTTGGAATAGTATGAAAAAACATTAGTAAATTAACAAAAAAAAATGCAAAACATAAATAAAAGAGTTTGTAATAGAATGAAAACACTAGCTAACAATTTACTTTAAAACTACAACTTTTTAAACTTCAGTTTGTTATAAAACTACTCCTCAGGTCGGATAAGTGTATAAACAATTAACTTCAAAGCTAAAGTTTTAAACTTAACCCAAGTAACAATTATAAGTTTAAAACTTACTCCACGGAAGATGTAACTTTAAAATAAATTCTTTCCTAAGAAATTTATAAGAAAACAACGAAGAGTTAACAAAAAAAGTCGTCTAAAATAGATCTGGGTTCATCCTTCGCGTCCAAATCCCGTCAAAATCAGTCCAACTATCCCATAGATTACCCGAAACTAACGCGGCTTTGGGAACAGACATACACACATAAAGACAAAAACTCATGTGTATGAAATACAGATATTTTAATTTTATTAATAGTCACTAAAATTAGTTAAAAATACACTACCTTTCAAAGCAATTTATCTTTAGGAAGTAGATGTAATTTATATTTGACTCAAATAAACAGAGTAAGTTAAACAAAATCTTCTGAATTACCTCAGGTAACAATTATAAGTTTAAAACTTACTTAGGTAACAGTTGATATAATAACTCTTCACATTTCCTTTTCTCTTCTAGATAGTCTGATGTTCGTTCTTCAACTAGAGCTTCCAAGTTGTTCGCGTATTGTTCCACTTGTGTCAGTAACATGTCCAAACGAGTTGACGTCTCGCAATCTCTGTTAACAATAATATCTTTAACAATAACTAGGTATCAAGCATCTATATCTCGTTTAGACTAATTTATCAATAGACTAACGGTCACCCACGACTCCGCCTGCGCAGAATTAAAAAAAAAACATATTAAGTAACCTATGTGCACTTCCAAATTATGTTCTATACGTACGCTATATTTCATCGAGATCTGTTCAGCCGTTCTGGAGATATCTTCAAATAAACATTCATACATTCACCTAAACATTCACATTTATAATATTAGTAAGATTTCAGGCTGATATTTCTGTTCTATTGTTTCTGAACTTAACAATTGAGTGTGCCATAGACAATGATTGTCCCTTAGACGTAATAATGGAGTAGTCAAAAAAATAAACCCAAAATAGTCAAAAAAAATGAAAATGTAAACACAATTTTAATTAGAGTAAATATTTTTAAACAGTTTTTCTATCCTAAAAACTTATACTTTAAATTATCATAGAATGTCCTAAAAAGAAAATGTATGGTGTGTATTGTGAAGGAAAAAATATCAAAAGTTATATTGCTACAACCCATATATAATATTGTTTGAGTGGGTGCGAATTTATAAATGACGTATTCAAAAGGGTATCAAAAAAAACATAGAAACTATTCAGATATATTTATCTTGTGAAATCAAGACAAGTGCGTTTTATTACTTATTTGACTAGGCAAAGATTTCACTCATAAGAACTAGGCAGTGATAAAAATATTAACACTATACAGCGTGTCCCAAAATTCAATTATAAAACGATAATGGTGTATAGCCAGAACGATACACATAATTTAATTTGACTGTTTTCGAAAATTTTAAGAAAAACAGTGAAATCAAATTATTTTTTGTGCTTAAATTACGAATGTTTAGGCGCCATTTTTAACTGAAATCAATAGTTATGTTACTTAGGTAGCTAATTAAAAAAATTGCAGGAATAACTTCAAAGTTGTAGCCACAGTGTCTAATCATATGGTGGAGGGTATCAAATTATAAGTAAAGTTACAAAAGTTAATGTAACTTTTAAACAAAAAGAATTGGATTTTTTTGTATTTTTCCCCGTGTAGGTATCGATCCGCCTATATACCATTACCGTTTTATCGTTGAATTTTGGGACACTCTGTATATACACAATGTACTTACGACAATATTAAGAAAGATATTTTGTATAGTGTCTTTCTATTAAAATGATTCTTAAGGTGGGATTGTTTAAGGTACATACACTTCAAAAATCTTCCATAAATTGTTCCGAGTATACACTTTTTAATTCATGTTTTTGTAAAAAAAAAACTTTATAATAAGAGAAACTTACTTGTTTATTTTCTGAATATTTTCTTTAAGTGCTGAGAAATCCGGACGATCATCTTCCGGCAATGTCCAAGGCGGTTCCCCCGTCAATGATTGTCTTGGTGATGCGGACAATGGAGACGTTCCTCGATTCCTCATATCAGCATTCCCTATGTTAAAAATATAAGATTTTGTAAATGCAACTCTAATTTTACAAAATTCTGTAATTCTTCACTTTCTCTCTTCACTCTCTTTTACAATTATCATGATAAATACTGATTAATTATAATAAAAACTAACGAGACAATTATATGTACATTTTTATAGAAAGAATTACAAATTTAAATACAAAACTAAGTCGAATTTGACGTGGAAATTAAAACCGTTACGTTTAAATTTGTCTTCCAAGATGGCGGCGCAGTAGTCGCAGGCGAGCGTGCAGTGCGGCCTGCGCATCTCTAGCAGTGGACTGACAGCGCGTCTCGGACTGGGCGAGTCCGCGCCACCAGGTGGCACCAGCGACATTCTGATAGACTAGACTAGAAAAATATTTAATTCGGTAAATTTCAATTTTACAAAATAATGTAAAGAAACGTGTTGTAAAATTGATTAATAAAAAATTACGTAAATTACTATTTTCTATAAATTACTCGATTATTTTGTACAGAGTTTGCAGGTTTGATACAAGAACGTATATGACTCGTTTTATTTTAAACCTTCGACACAGAATATAGGAAACATTAAGGGGAATTTATTTAAAAATAATATGGGTAAGTTTTATAAATAGGTTCAGTGTTCAAATGATTTGATAAAGAGGTTCTGTGCAGCTGGGGCGATGAACTCGTAATCTATTTAACTATTGGATCCAACGCCAATAAACTTTTACAAATAAAACATCTTTTTACACTTTTTCCTTCAAACTTTTTACTAACTCAAAGGTGATTTTTATAACAATCAATCCCATTATTGACTACTATCCCACCTTACAATAAATTGTTGCGTGTTTCGCGAAATTTAAATGTGGGTTTTTTTTAAAACCTAATCTTTAATCTCAGTTTACTGCAATAGCTTAAAAAACGGTTTCGAGAAATGTCCTTAATTAGTTTTAATCAACGAGGAAGTGAAATCTCTTGTAATTAAGTAAGTACCATTGCTTAATTTTGATTCAGAAGAACTTGATTCGGAAACTTTCCATTTGAAGAAAAAACTTCTATCACATTTTATTTGTTAGCAACCTTTTCGTTAGTAAAAATAAGTTGAAAATAAATACAGTAATATTGATTTTCTCAAAATACTTTTAATTAACTTATAAAGTAAATTCACTTGGTATTTTAGCTCCCCCTCCTCGGTATATTTCGTGATTTTTTTCGAACCCTTCCCCCGCTTTCGAGCCTTACGTGATTTATGGATCATCCTGTACATCTTTTTTGTAAATTAAAAAATTTAGATTTTTTTAATTATAATAGAATTTAGTAACGCAAGTAAATACTCTAAACTTAGGATCTATAGTAAATAAGGTTTACAAGATTTTCAACGGAGATTAAAGGGACTCCTGCCTCTCTGAATTGAGGTTGGCCGAACCTCTATTAAGGTCGAGTAGAAAGGCGGCAAAATGGTGGATGCGTTAACTCACTTAAGATTTTCGGTTTATCTCGAATTAAACTTTCCTTATTTAAAAAATATTTCCTTAATACTACCATCTAATGTCTTTAAAAACAAAGAACAGGCTTAATAATAATAATTTAATATTTAAATATTGCGATTTTTAGCGAAACAAACATAATAATAAACAAACCCGAGTAATTGTTGTAACAATTTGACACTGATTAAAAAACAAATAAAAACGTCACTATTTCAAGTAAAATAAATGTTACAATCGCGGCAATATAAGTCTTCGAAACCCAGCGATTTTAGTCGCTTGATGGCAGAGCAAATTTATACATTTCAAATGTAGCTATATAGGTACTGAATAGACGACTCGCGTCGACACAACAACGTATATGGAGCGCACTCGATAAACGCAGATGCCATATTAGTTTCATATATTTACATTGCCTAGTGTCATCATCATCAGCTCACTATATGTCCCCACCGAGTAGCTCGGAGCCTACCCTAAGTTAAGGGTGTCTAAACCAAAGTCAACCACGCTGCGAGTGCGGGTTGGTTGACTTCACACATATCTTTGAATTTCTTCTCAGATATGTGCAGGTTGCATCACGATGTTTTCCTTCATCGTAAGAACGTCGGATAAATGTACATATGTAAATCGGAAATAGAAAAACACATAGGTACATGGCGGGATTCGAACTCAGGACCTACAGATTGCGAGTCAAGTGCTTGACTCCTGAGCCACCGACGCTCCTTGCCTTGTGTACTAAGGATCAATTACTTTGCATAACTAATCTACATTATACGTCAAGTTAAATCAACATTTTCTACGCCTACATTGCCTAATAATCATTAGTTACGTTGTTGGTATTAACTGAGAAATTAATTCAATTTACTACCTACGCAATACGTAATAAAGTCGGAAGTAGGTTGGGATACATAAATAACATCATAAACACTGTATAATTATAAGGAGTGGCCGAGCAGTAAACAGAACATTACAAGATTTATTAACCATTTGAATCCATCAAGACTTAAGTAATTAAATAATTGTTGTCTCCGTTTGCTTCAAAGATGGAAAGAGGGATGGCACTATGTCTTTGTACAAGAGCTTCCGATGTAAAAATTATGAGTTAGAACTTAAAAAAAGTTATTATATGTCTTAATTTCAACGGTTATTTTAGACGTTTTAATTTCATTAAAAATTAAATTAATTACTAATTATATCCTTCTAATTTTATAAATCAGAATGTTTGGATGGATAGATGGATGTTAGAAGGTATCAACACAACGGCTTAATGAATCTCGCTAAAATTACGCATAGCTATAGAACATAGTCTGGAAAAGCACATAACCTACTAATTAAGTTTTTTTCCGCGCAGACGGAGTCGCGGGTGGTACTTGTTCTTATAAATAACAATCCATATTATCGAAGTAGAAGACTATTAGGCGATCGATGTAAAACTTACGAGTATGTTCAGAGTAAATAAAACATCCCTAGTAATCCTGTAAGCCTCGTAAGATATATAGAAATAAATTGAAAGTGTAGGGCTATTTATTTTACTGCTACGGCTTTCTAAATGGTCATCTATAAATATCACGCCCAAGGGATAAGTTTGGAGAATATCTGTTAGGCTGTATACTTCTTACTAAAATTATAAATGCGAATGCTTCATGGTAAGATGTTTGTTAGGTATCTCCAGAATGACTGCATAGAGATCATAACATAGTCTGGTAGAACATATAGGTTACTAAGTAAGTTTTTTTTAATTTAGCACGGACAGAGTCGAGGGCGACAGCTAGTTATAAATACATCTTATTACATACTTTACTTATTATATGATTAAGAATTTAATATAAGTTACTTTAACGAACTTGAAATAAAAATGTTAAATTAATACTTTATTTGTAAAATGTTTTTCCTTTGCTGGAAAATTAGGGAAATGAATATTTATTCGAAAGAAGCGCAGGTTTTTTGTGCTTTCATAAAAATGCTTTATTAAAATATTTAATTAAAACTCCCGGACGGAGTAAAAATTAAATAAAGAGAGCATGTTCAACGAAATGTTTTCTTCATTAAAATATGTTTCGCATAATTAAATTACATTTTTAATAACAATTTAATAAATTCTATTTTTAATAAGGAACGAATTGTCAATATTTTTTTTAAGTTAGTTAAAAAATTATAAAAACTCATTGAAATTATTTTTTTAATTATTGTTCATTTTCATCAACAGAATCTTGTCATATTTGTCAGTGTTTTGTTTCTGCGTTACTTATAATATATTAATGTAAAGTAAAAAAGAGGTAAAATAATTTTCTTCCGTGAAATGAACCGTATTATAGTTTAGGAAGTAAAAAATTTGTCTTTAAGCAAAGATCTCAGACGCTGCGTGAGACGATTTGGTGTTTTGCCAAAATGCGTAATAAGTTTATTGACCTTTGGCATTTATTGCTATGGTGTTTCAATTTTCAATCCATTTCATATAACTTTATAAATATTTATTTTATTGGTAATGTATGTACGTAAAAGTAACTCTATTTTCCCACTTCTATTCAATTGAATAGAAGTGGGAATTCCCTACAAACAAACAACATACAAACTTTTTACGAATTATATTTTTTAATCATACTCTAACTTAAATTACGCATATTAAGATAAAAAAGTTTTTAACATAACTCAATTAAGCTTACTAAATTTTAATTTAAAACAAAAATAGAATGTACTTCTGGCTTCCTAATGACATAGAGTGGAACTTTCCGTATTAATTTCCAGAAACAAACTTTGATTAATTCGCGCTTCATTTGATTATTAACCCGATGTTATTATACAGAGTGTTATTTTTAAAATATTCAATATACGTTATTCAATAGAAAACTTTACAAGTGAAACCAAAACATAAATAAGCCGCATTGAAAATATAATGACGTCGCGAACAAACAACATTGCTGCCCTTCTCACACGAAAGGTCGAATTGTTAACTTTATAAGTATTTAGATTGACGTAAAAACATGAAATAATTCTCAAAGTACATACTATATATGAATGTGTCCTATTCTTATATAGGTCTTGCTTTAATTTAGTAACTAGCTGTCGTCCGCAGCTCCGTTCGCCGAACTTAAAAAAACTTAATTAGTAGCTTATGTGTTCTTTCAGACTATGTTCTACATCTAACATTTCAGCAAGATCCCTGAAGCCGTTCGGGAGGTACATCTATTATAATATTATTAAGATTATTAAATGCGGCAATATATCTTTATATATAAAATTCTTCAGTGAGTATGTATGTCACTGAACTTCTCTCAAACGACTGGACCGATTTTGATGAAATTTTTTGTGTGTGTTCAAGGGGATCTGGGAATTGTTTAGATTCACAATTTTCATCAAATATTAACTTTATATTAATTTATTCAAATTAAAGACGTGTAGACAGGACAACGTCTGTCGGGTCCGCTAGTTACATTATAAAGCTTTACAGGTCATACTGTGGAATTTAAAATATATAAAGACCACAATATATAACAAACGTGATAATTACATACTATTTAATATTTAACTGCAGTTTAAACCCTTGAATACGTTTCCTGTTTATAATACAAAAGTTTTTTAATACTCTATCTCTCAGACTTGACATTTCCAGAGTAAATCTTTGGTAAAGTCGTTAAGAATAATTTTCACACAATTATCATTAAAAATATTTAGCTACTAAAAGCAAAAAGCTATTTGTATGAATATATAGAACATTGAAAAGCATTTTATTTGCAAAGCTAATAGAAAAGTTAATGTAATGTTTGAAATTCAAACGAATAACTCCGGTCATGGAAAGTTAAATATTGATTTTAGGACAGTCGTAATTTCAATTTTGTTTTTATTGGTTACTACAAAGTACTATTAAGATAATCATCGCGGCTTACTT